CCTTCCATTTTCCAGGCTAAATAATCTCAGTTTTCTCATCCCCTCCTCACATTAAAGATGTTACAATGCCTTAATACTTTTGGATTTCATACTTGTCTTGTCACCATGGACCTGCTCTCTAATCAGGGGATTGTCTGACCCTAGTTACTTTTATCAGATGTGATTCTGACCTTGAGCTGACTGACTTTGTGGCTTGACCTGACATCTGTCTTATCATTATGAATTTACCTGATGATCTGGATGCTTGGGTGAAGCTGGCTGCTACCCAGCAGCCCCTGCTTGGCTACTATAGGACAGGGCCCTGACTGTCAAGGCCCCTGCCCTGATGGCATGTTATTACAACTCAACTCCCCATCCATTAGGGTGAAGCTGGCCCTTGCTGCTTTCTAACGCTGTACCAATTGTTCACAATGAGTTTGAATTCCTGCTTATTGCAGTGGGTTTGCATATTCTCTCTGCCATTCACATGAGTCTCAGGGTTCATCTGAAAAAAAAAAAAAATAAAACAACAAAAACCCCAAACGAAAACAACCCAGAAATCTGAAACCAGAAGTCTATGGTCATTGGCTGAAGAGCCCTGAGATTCCTAAAATTGCAGACACATATTTAGTGCAGTCTGGCCAACATCTGCTAAAGCTTATGGTGTTCTTGGAAGTGGGCCACCTTCAACTAGCATCATGCTGCACAGTTAATTTTTTTATTAGTTTCCCAGACAGTGATCTGTGATGAAGATATAATCCTGACTCATGGTAACACAAAAAGTAATGATGAAGCCTCCGTGAATAGAACAAATTATTTAAAGAGGGAAATTGGTTTCAGAAGGGAAAGATAAATACATGCACAAAGGATGCATTTCTGAAAACAAAGTAACAGAATTCAAAGTCATTACTACTGGTATGACCATGTAATCACAATATTTAAAAGAGTCAATTGAATGGCCATTTTCAGTCTCAATGACCAAATAGTTCATCTAGCTGAGGATGCAACAGGATGCTTGTTTAAGGGGATTTCCTGGTTTTACTACAACCTGCCTTCTTAGACCTTCTCATGTTGTGATGTTTCTGCTACTGCCTCTGTTCTGTTCAGCTATGCCCCTTCCTTTGTTCCCTTTTGTCACACCCAGTCTCATCTCCTTGTGTTCTCTGCTTTGTTCCCTTGTTACTTGTTACTTGTCTTTTCTCTTGTCCTACATTTAGAAACAAGAGAGTCATGGGCAAGAGTCCTGTGACTGCAGAGGAGGGGAGGGAATGGCTCCAAAGGGGTCCAAATGGGGGGGTTCAAGCTACCTCCAGCAAGCCACAACCCTTGTCCTGTGAGAGAGAGACCATCCCTGCTCCTGACGGAGCTGTGACATCTCAGATGTCACAGTGTTGTATGGGAGAACATCTGCAGGTGTTGTAGCTTCAAAAATGGATGTTAACTAGTTTAGTTAACCAGAAACAGAACTCTCCACAGTATATCACTAAGCAGTAGCTTAGTAATACAGGTGAACCCAGGGAAACAGAGTTCATTGCTTTATAGTCCTTCATGCTGAGGCTGTGATCAAATAACACAAATGAAATTATTTTATATCATACTGAGGCATGAAGCCCAAACATGAGTAAGCATAAAGTTCTCATAAAGCAATATTTACATTTCCCTTCCTGAATCACAGAGAGAATTTAAGCATAGTAGAGCCTATATTTCTTCCGTGGTTTTATTTTAAAATGTAACAACGTAACTCAGCTGAAAATAAATTCAGGGTTCATTGACTGCCAATATAAAAAATGAAATTAACAACTTCTACTGAATGTTCTAGCTAAGCTATATTACTATATATATATAATATATATATAATATAGCTATATTATTATGTCTACTTTACACTAGATCTTAATTTCTGACTTTCCACATATTATAAGCATTTTACAATATCATGTTAATTATACAGCTGAACCCCAAATAAAACCATGTTCTTTCTTAAGAGGGAAAAAAAAAAAAAAAGAATAAAGCATCCTGTGATCAGACACTAAGTTCTATCATTTTCATGAGGGATAGCGCTACACAGAAATATTAAATCAAAGATGTTTCATGCTTATATAACATCTATGTTGGCTATCCTTGAACTTTGCAACAATGAAATACATTTGTTTGCCTAATAATATCCCAGTGATGCAGTTTTACATAATATTTTCTACAAAACTAATTAAACCGTGACAATTTAAGAAAACAGAAAATAGAACGTACCAGGAAGTGATGGACTGGTCACTGGCAATTCAACCTCACAGATTTAATACAAGAGTGCTTGTTTATGATGGCAACATCCTTGTTCTGTTGCAGGTAATGTAGTGAGGGCAGAAACTCTAGTGGCTTGAACCTTGAACAGTGCTTTCAATCCCATCACAATATAGGCTCAAGATGCAGAAGTAACGTGACCTTTTATAATTCACTTCACATATGACATGTTAAATCTCAAAAGTGAAAATTACTAGTGTAGAAAATTAATTTTATAAAAATTGCAATATTTATAAATTAAAACTTTAATAACAAATTAAGGACATCTTGAATAAATTAAAACAAACTCTTATTTTCCTTTCCAAATCTCAGTAACTTTATTGGCTTAAATAAGTAACTGAGCACTGCCAGACTTAATGAATTACACAACATGCATTAAATTCATCTCATACTGGTAATTGTTTAAATGCACTTTCAACATCTATCATTTGAAGATTATTTTAGATGGTGCAATGTAATTTTTTTTTTTTTTTCTTCACTTCTTACATTATAACTACCTTTCTTTGGGGTCAAATCATGCCTCTTTTTTCCAGAACCATCCAAGCTGAACAGAAAAAAATGTATTAAAAAAAAAAAAAATTACCTGCCTCGGGGGAAAAAAAAAAAAGTATGATTCATATAATTTTCACTTTACGGGGATATATTAAGCTAGTAAGAGAAGTCCTCAAACGAGATGAGATCTGACATGGACACTTAGTATTTCTTCCATCTGTCCTTTTTTATTGGGGATAAGTCTGGCCCATGACAAGTAGAAAGCAACTAACTACTTTTGTTATATAGAGGTGACACAAAAGATGACATTTTAATGTGTTTTTTACTTTTTCTTTTAATTTTCTAGCATACACTGCATCCAAACATTTTTAGCTATCTATCAATGTCTTTTTACTATCTTCTTTTTATATCTCAATATCATCGTCGTGGCAATACAATGTGGAGTACTCTTACCACAGTGTGAGGTAAATAAACTGTTGTTAGCTCAAGTATCAGCAAACTGATTGCAAAGGAGATTCTCAGCAAAGTTTCTTGACATATTCTACCGATTCATCTTGTTTTTCTTGTATTTTCTCAGGGACTATTGTATCAGTTGAGTGTGAGACCTGCTTTCATTTAAAGATGGACATATTTTCACTTTAATTGGCACAATATTATTTAAATATGATGTTTTGAAATATCATAGTCAACCTTAACTAAAGGGTTTTTTTTTTTCTACAAGATTTTACTTTCTTAAACGCACCCCTTTTGCTTTAATTATCTTTTCTAGTTGTAATGTCAGAGATTATTCCACTGGAGCAAAATCTTTCTCTATATAATACTGGGGGCAGGGACGCATTTGAGTCTTGGATTTTGAAGTCTACTTTTATTTCTGTTCTCTTATTTTTTTATGTTTTTTTTAAAAAAAAAAAAAAAAAAAAAAAGAAAAAGGAGAGAGAGAGAAAAACTGCCGAAGCTTGAGATAAAAATCTTTTCAGGACACAGTTATAGGAAGTGAAAAAATATTTTTGAGTACATGCAGTGGAATCTGCCAAGATTTTCTGCAGTTTTAGGAAGCATTTTTTTCCCTCAGACATAACTACACATCCTTTCTATTCAGACTGATAGGCCCAAGGGGCTTTTCTAAGACAAGCTGCACAAAGAGTACTGGAAATGTCTAAGTGGAGCAAAATCTTTTCCAAAACCTGAACTGAGGAATGAAAGAAAAATATTATCGAAAGGGTATATTGGATCCTAGATTTTAGGGACTGATTTTTGTGGCTCCTTAATAATGTGGGATGTTTCTATCTGTAACTATTATTTCAGTGAATTTCTGTGTAGATATGTACACGCTTCCTTACTAAATTTGATGTGGCAAAAACTGTTTACAGTTCCCAGTGAAACCTTATGAATGTTCCCTATCAAGGAGCTGGCGAAGAAGTTAACTACCTAAGTTATATATGTTCTATACTGTAACTGCATTGTCTTATATGGTCATGTACATGACCTTTTTTTTAGAAAGAAAGCAGAAATAAAAAAGAACACTAAGGAAATAAAGAACTGGAAGTGTGTGTAACCCTCTGGGCTGGAGATCAGAGGCAAAAGAGCTATTTGCTGCCATCTATTGATGAACTGGACAAAAAATATGGAAAGAACAACCAGCCCTGTACTAAACATCCACTCTCCCAGGATATGAAGGCTTGGCTGGTTTGGGAAATTTGATCAAGATTTCCTCATGGGACTGATGAAATATCATTACAATTTTTCTGTCACTGAAAAACAGTACATCTGTTCCGATGGAGGTTAATCATAGCTTAAAAATTCACGGTACCCTCAGGTAGAGAGAATATACTGTAAAAAAGAGAAGATGGAAAACTCAGTCATACCTTGTGGGAAGTGTTCATTCTTGGTAGTGTAAGAATAATACAGTCACAAAGAGCAGTAAAATCATATACACATTATGATCATACACATTATTAAACACCCCTTCTAGAAAAAAATTACAGTTAAAATATATACCGGAGAGAGATGATGGGAGGTCTGCAACAACAAATAGCTGCAAAATTTGACTGAAGACAAAAAAAAAAAAAAAAAGTTTCCAACTTTTATGGAGGAATTTCCTTCATTTTATGCATGATATATGTGGTCTTTTGTGACCATACATCTTAAGGAAAACAAATGGGATAGGAATAAATTTCAAATTGAGATATTTATATTTTTTTAATATAAGGGGACTTTTAACTATGAAGATTAAATATTTGTCATGGTTTAAAAAAAAAAAGAAAAAAGAAAGAATCCATGGGAATGTAATATCACTATATTTTCTAACATAATGGAAAAAAAATATTTATGGAGTTAAAGACACAAGTCATGAGTGGAGGAACATCAGAATGCTTTAACCTTGAATGTTTAAAGCTCAGTTAAACTCCACACATTTTGGTTTACAGTGATAACAAAACATTATCACTAGCTGAGATGTTTCTGGATATCACAGATATCAAGAACAGAATTATGAATATGAAACAGTAGTTACAGAAGCTTTTCATTCCTTTGGACAAGCTGGGAATCAGATAGATCTTTAACAGCTGAAGCTTTTGTTTATTGATTGAAATAGAATATAGAATTATGATTATTTGGGACACTCCATTTAGGAAATTAATCAAGATATTCATGCACACAAATTGGGCTGGGCACAGTAGGAACTGCATGGGGGGAATTCTAGAGCTGCCCAACATTATCCCATTATCCCCTGGAGGGCTGCTGTAGCAATGAGTGGACCACTCAGTAAGAAGTTCTAATCAGTCTCCTAGTTCCAAGTCCATTCACTGTGTCAAGACAGTCCATTAACTCCTATCTGCAGGTAACTGGCTGGTGACATCCTGAACCGTCCCAGGAATTACTAAAATCAGTGGGTGTGCACACAGGCATAGCTCTGTTATCCACCTCTATCAGAATTGCACTTCTATATTTCTAAAACATGCAAAATCTCTGATGTTATCTCCCTGTATTATCATTATTATACTGGCAACAAATAACCTTAAGAAAATTGCACTGCATGTTATAAAGAAGTGCAAGAAGAACTGAAAAGACAGTTAAGAAACAGAGGACCTGGAATCTATAATGGAAGATCAGGATTCTGTCAGCATCACCACTCTTTGATGAGTGAGTTCATGGAAATTCAGAGTAGCTACATTTTTCTGTTAACTTGACCATGAATGATTGTTACTAACTTGTAAAATGCTTCAAATCAGGCGGCTATATGTTTTCAAACATTGAACAGACTGAGTTAGGAAGAACAAACTATGATTATGAGTTTTATGTATGACAGAAATTCATGTAACTAATACAACACTTAGACTTGGGGATGAGAAAAATGGAGAAGAAAATACAGTTATGTAGAAAAGGTAGCAAAAGAGACACTGACATGGAACATAAGATGAAATAAAGAAACTGGCTAAAGAGGGGGAAAGAGTAAAGTCTAATACTGTGAATAAATCAATTATAGCTGTATTAACATGTGGTTCATACCTAACTTTTTTTTTTTTTTTGTCTTTGATCCACATTTTTTACCTAAATGCAACTAAGACAGTTAAACAACATGAAACATGAATAATGAGAGGGAAAAATGCCTGTAGACTCTTTTACAGTGTGACCTGAATCAAAGGGAAATCAAATCAGCAGCTTCAAAGTGCTTATGGTTTTTCACTTGGACGTTCTAGGCAGTGTTAGGCACAAACAGAACAAATTGGATTCCCAGTTAGAAGATGGATAAGAGCTTCTTGAATGTCAAGCTTTGCACCTTCTTCAGTCCTTCCTCCTGCAATAAATGAGTTACATAGTATCCTGCTTATGAGGAGCTTTTGTTGGATAACATATTCTAACAGATGGAAGTGTTTTTGTGAAGAGCCTGTAATTCTGGAAGCTAGAGGAGGGAGGTATTTCATTCTCAGGCTTCCCTCACCTTCCCCCAGAGGGATCTGTTGAAAAATATTTTGGTCTCGATTAGCAAATACATAATAAACAGTAGAACTATTCAGATAAAATAAATTTGGAAGAAGTGTGAACTAAGACAAGGTTAGAGATCAAGCCTCTAAAGGCTTATCTGACCTGCAAGCTGTATTTTCAAGTATTAAGCTCATTAAAAGATAAAAGAAAACAAACAGAAATCCTTCCTTACTGTGTGTGACATATTCTAGTTTCTGTCAGAAGGCCCTGGGCAATCTGACCTACCATTAGCTTTGCTCAACTCAGCAAGTAGTCAGTATGCTGCAGGGCAGGGCTGTCATATGGGGATTTCTCACCAGAGTATTGAAATGGACTGCTGAGAAGTTCAGCAAAGTCAGATAAAAACTCCTGATCCTGGCGTATGATTATCCCATGTGAAAATTTAAACTGGAATCTGCTATTTGGCTAGAAAGTAGTTTTGCAGAAAAGAACCATGGGATCTGCGTGAATAACATGGTGAATGTGTGTCAGCAGAGAGCCCTTGTGATGACTATACTGGTTATGGCTGGGATAGGGTTAATTTTCTTTGTAGTAGCTAGTAAGTAGCTGTATATATTTTGTTGGGTTGTGACCATTTTGTGATAGTGATTCAGCTCATTCCGTTAGAATGTCCAAATGGGAAATAAAATAAATATGCCAACATGCATACAAATAGCAAAAAGAAAGGCATTTCTGATTTAAAGGATGTGTGTGCCATAAAATTTCTAGGTTTTTTCATTTGTAGTAAAGTTCATTTCAAATATATGATGCTTCATTATTTTCCCCTCATTCCTTAGAAATTAATGCTAAAGAAAAAATATATGTTGGATTCAGTATGTCATGATAATTTAATGTTTATATTACCAATAAAGCTCCTAATTTCCTTCCTATTTTTTGTTTAGTTTGAATGAATCTGTGGCTTATAAGTTTCAGACGTTTTCAGAAACAAGGTAAAGAGAGACTGCTACAAGTAAGTACAGGCTTTTCTGAGTTCAGATATCAGTTCAATACTTTCCACACAGCAGATTTTAGAATAGATTGGTATGGTAGAAAAACAAGCATGTGTTACACTTGAAGGGGAATGAATAT